ACGTTACCCCCAGAGACCCCGCCCCGGGCACGGCTCCCCGTGCGGCCCCCAGGGACCCCACCCCGGGAACGGCTCCCACGTTACCCCCAGAGACCCCGCCCCGGGCACGGCTCCCCGTGCGGCCCCCAGGGACCCCACCCCGGGAACGGCTCCCACGTTACCCCCAGAGACCCCGCCCCGGGCACGGCTCCCGCGGGGCCCCCAGAACAGGGCTCAGGGACTGGCCAGGGTCTCGCTGGCTCCCCCTCCCCAGGGCACCCCATGGCGCTGGCTGGGCGGCCTCCCTCGCCCTGCCCACCCACTGCCCCTGGGGACCCCCAGCATGCCCTGAGCAGCCTACAGCAACCCCCTTCCTGCACCTGCTCCCCCCGCTCCTGCCCCCCAACCAGGCTCCCAGCTCAGGGCCCCTGGAAACGCTCCCGCCTGCTCCCTGAGACCCAGGCGCTGGGGGCTTCATGTCTGCCCCTGGGTGTCCTGCCTGGCGGCCAGCCCCACGGGGGTCAGGCTAACAGCTGGCAGGGGGTGTTTGCTTGCCCAGCCCCCCCACCCCAGGACAGGGGCAGCCGGGCACGAGGGGACAGGCTTTGCTGGGGCCTGGGCACATGGGGGGCTGCTCGCTGGAGGCCCAAGGCCCAGCCAGCCATGGGGCGGGGGAGAGGGGAGGTGTTGAGATCACCATGCCTTGGGCCAGAGACCCAGCCCCCTGCTAGCGGGGCTGCAGCAGGCCTGGGGGGCACCGGGAGACGTGCCCCAGACGCCTTTCCCTGCCCCCGGGGACAGACGTGCCGAGCCTGCCAGCATCGCCACCCCTCGCTGTGCCCAGGGCAGGGCCCCCAGCCGATGGAGTGCCAGGGCCCCCCAGCAGCCCCCCATCCACAGCCCAGCTAAAGGTGCCAACTGTCTAATCACACAGACCCAAACACTCCACCCCTGCCCGGCCCCTTCTCCAAGGCCCCACCCTGCTCACTCCATCCATCACTCACTCTCCCACTGTCACCAGGCTGGGGCCGGGGTGTGGGATGGGCTCAGGGCTGGGGGGTTGGGGTGCAGGAGGGGCTGAGGGCAGGGGGTCAGGGTTGGGGTGCAGGAGGGGCTGAGGGCAGGGGCTCAGGGCTGGGACAGGGGGTTGGGGTGCGGGAGGGGCTGAGGGCAGGGGGTCAGGGCTGGGGTGCGGGAGGGGCTCAGGGCAGGGGCTCAGGGCTGGGGTGCAGGAGGGGCTGAGGGCAGGGGGTCAGGGCTGGGGTGCGGGAGGGGCTCAGGGCAGGGAGTCAGGGCTGGGGCAGGGGGGTTGGGGTGCGGGAGGGGCACAGCCCCCCATTTCCCGGGCCCCACTTCCAGCACGAGGGAGCCCAGGCCCCGGCCGTTAGAAGTCCAGGGGGCAGCGCAGCCCTGAGGGGGAAGGGGGCAGATGGTTGGGCAGAGGGGACTCCAAGTGGCCCCAGGCTGGTGACGGGGGACGCTAGGGGCTGATGGGGGCGCTAGGGGGGCCCCAGGCTGCTGACGGGGGGCGCTAGGGGCTGACGGGGGGCGCTAGGGGGGCCCCAGGCTGCTGACGGTGGTGTAGCTGATCTTGGAGAGGGAGGCGCCGGTGGTAGGCATGTCGTCGTCGGGCGGGGGGCGCCGGGGGCGCCGGGGGCGGCAGCGGGCGAAGGTGGTGGCGAAGGCGGCGCGGAAGCGCCGGTTCATGAAGCAGTAGATGAGCGGGTTGGCGCAGGCCGAGGTGTAGGACAGCAGGTGGATGAAGGAGATGGGGGCGCCCGACAGCACCCGATGGGCCGCGGCCGGGGCGAAGGCGCGCCAGGTGTTGGCGGAGAAGATGGGCAGCCAGCAGAGGAAGAACATCACCACGATGACAACCAGCATGCGGATCACCCGCCTCTTGGCCAGCAGCATGGCCTGCGAGCCGTTGACGCGGGCGCGGTCCTGCTGCCCTGCGCCCGCCCGGCCCAGCAGGCTCAGCTCCAGCGCCCCCCCCGGCCTCGCCAGCTGCACGTAGCAGCCGTCATCCTCCACCCCCGGCGCCAGGGGCTCGGTGCCGCCGTGCTGGAGACCTGGGGAGAGAGCAGAGCCGGGGTCGGCCCGTGTCTTGCAAGGGGTCATAGCGGGGGGCCTGGGAAGGGGATGGGGAGCACCGGGGGCCCCCGGGGTGGATGGGGGGGGTTGGCGGGTGTGAATGAGGGACCCTGGGGGTGGACAGTGTGACGAACTGGGGTTTTATTCATCTTGTTATGGTGCATGTGAGTCTTGCTGTCCTATACCAATACTGTGCATGCCTCAGTTTCCTTGTGTGCTGCACCAATACTTCGGGGGTGGGAATTGGGGGTGTGATTTTGCTGAGGTCCTTGGGGCAGGTGAGGCTGCCCAGCTGTTCGCAGCTGCATAACCTGAGACCCAGACTGGCCGAGAGTCACGTCTGACTGCGAAGTGGGGGACCCTCTGGCTCCCCCAGGACCACGCCGGGGCGGACTCGCTGTGGGAAGTGCACGGAGGGGCAGAGGATGCTGAATGCTCCAAGGGCAGACCCAGGAGGTGAAGCCGTGTGAGCTTCTTGCCCTGAAGACAGTCTGCCCCAAGGGAGAGGAGGCTCCCCAAAGTCCTGCCTGGCTTTGTGGGGAGCAGTTCCAGAGCATCACCCGGGGACTCTGTGACAGGGTGTGTGGAGGGGGGACACCAGGGGTGAATGCCGGGGTGTGTGGACTGGGGTTCTTGAGGGTGTGTGTGTGTGGTGGGGACAGGGGCCCCGGGGGGGGCGTGTGCGGGGACAGGGGGCCCCGG